TAGCAAGATCAGAGACACGAACACCATTTTCATGTTTGGCTATGATTTCTTTCTTAACATCTATCATGATATTGGTATTTTTTCTTTTCACTTCGCTGCTATCATTGTCTTTCTTTGGCCCCATGCTGGATCATTCTTCTACGAATACTGCCGATGCTGATTCTCCCAGCTTATCGCTCCACGATGTTGACGGCTTGCGTGTTCGTAACTCAAGACACAGTACGTCATCCGAGACGCTTTTTGCTCGGAAAATTTGTTCGTAAACTGAATTGTTCGTGAACCAGGGTTTGACTGTATAGCAAAAGGGTTACCAATCCAACTTGTCTTCTTTCTTGAAGTCGTACTTCTAAAGCATTTAATAATTTGGAACTAATTTCAGTGTTTAAATTTGTTAGTTCATTTAACAGAAATTTTTACATATTAATTCTAGTATCTAAAACAGGTTTTTTAAATTTTACAAATTTATCCAAAAAAGCTGTTTTTAAAAACCCACAAACCCTAATAGAGTCTAGTTCAACTGAACTACTCTCCGATAGCAGCTGGGTTGTATGGTCCTAATGGATTGAAGCATCATAGCTTTACATTCCTCATCAAGATGCGTTACCTGCACAGGATGGTTTTGTTTGCAAATGCGGTGATAGTTGTTGATTATTTTGCAATCCTTGATTTCGTTTACCCTTAATCTGGCGTAGTATTGTTTAGCTACATCCATTAATAGGTACTCACGTTCTGGGAGGATGAAGGTAAATTTAGAATCTGTGTTCCTAATCTTAATTGGCAATGGCAGAACGTGGTATACGTTGTAATTTACATGATTTGTTAAAGGTAGGCGAATTACATATACAAGATAATTACCCTTTAAAAATACATCAAAATCAATCAATCTTAAAACTAGGTTTTGGTACGTTGCACTCAGTGGTATAGGTAATGACAGTTCACTTGGAATGTCAGCTTGGCTTGCCTTTATTTGTTTCATAATTTGAGCAGGCGTTATAGTATGTGGCTGAAGTACTCCCTTTTGTGCATTCATAACGGCATCTATTAAAATTTCGTATTCTCTACTACATTCATTAATTGCTGTATCTAACTGCATGGCATGTTCGTTAACAGTGAGCATCATGGAGGTGGCAGTAAACATTTTCTTTACTTCACCGTCGTTTTCATTTATGAGCGAGGCCATTTTCTGTAAACCTTCAGACAAAACTCTTTCATTTTCGGATACTTCCGTCAAGGTGGAATTTACTGACCTTAATGTTGATTTGACGACCGGAATCTGTTCTTTCGAAAGTTTTAGAAAATCGACTTGTTCCTTTTCTAAGTTGGTAATTTTGTCAGTATAATATGAAACGTCATCGCTGTCCATTGTACCAAATAAAATTTTGCTTATTCCGCCAATGAAGTTAAAAACTCCTCGTTTGAAACGTGAATGATTCGTGCCATCGTCACTTCTAGTTAACTGTCTGGCAATCAATTTCATGTCTTCTATTTCTTTAATTTGTCTGTCTACGTGTTTAATAGTTTTCGTGCAGTCTGTAAAGTATATCCACAACGTGTGCTCATGTTTTTCGCAAAAGTTCAGGGATTGGTGCGCATATTTTCTCACAATATCTAAATTGTTATCTGCTTCTTGCAGATTGACATAGGTTACAATTTTCCATTCGGTATTGTACAGCTGGGCTCCTCCCACCTGGTCGTAATAAAGACCGGGTGACTCCTTAAATATTTGTAGGGTCACGTCGAGGGCAGGGGCTTGTCTTAGTGTCATCAATAGTGTACAGATGGTCCAGAGTCTGTTGTTGATGGCCAGAGTCCTGTAATTAATGAAAGAATGGTTTCAGTCTGTCAGCGTAGACCTTGAGGGTTATATTTTCTTGGTAATTTTAACGTGATGTGCACATTATCGACCTCTGTGATTTCATAAGATCCTATCCAAAGCGGAGATAATTTTAATGATCTACCTCCCCTGACCTTTTCGTCATGTAACAAAACTTTGTCTCCGATTGTGAACAGAGGGACAATGATATTACTGTGCTCTTTTCTTGCCTTTCTGTTGGTTCTCTTGCTCCAAAGACTCTAAGGACGCTCAAGATGATGTGCGCCCTGGGAACCGCCCTGAAATTATCGCTTCTGATTGGCCAAAAAATTATTCCATGTCCATATATGGGAGACACATGCATGCATTGTCTAGTCTAACATGGAGATCCTGTTTAAAGCTAAAGCACGCAGTTGGGGAGTGCATCGTCATTAAAATTCCATTGGCCATCCAATGCTTCACACCAGATGTAGGGCAACGACAATTAAGATTAACAAGTTTAAAAACATGGGTTCCAAGTAAGGGTGAGAAGGGGTGCCGGCACAACAACTTGCCCCCTCCTTAAATGAAAACTTAACTTCCACAAGTTAGGTTTTCATCCCCATGGGTACGGCAATTACAGGTAAGCGATAATCAGTGGTTACTGCGTTATTCTGTGCGTCAAATCTCCTTTTCAATGTTCATTCCAAGGTTTTACATTCCAATCCTCAAGTTAAATATCTACAACAAATGTGCATCTTATTCGCCGATAGTCGCCCAAATTACGTGGTCTGGTTCGGCAATTATCAACTACCACACTACAAGAACAATTACAAGTTATGAATTACACAAGACATCAAGTTGTAAAATAAAGATGGAACTCTCACCCAACCAACTGGTCACTGCAACTTACAATGAATTTTCACAGGTAAGCAAATTGTGCAACAACGTCCTAAATCAGTCTCTGTTTTCTCCGAATAATGTTCCATGTCGATACATTGGGTTGTCTTCTTGTCACTTCCGCAGCTGGAATTTCCCGGGCTGAGCGAACTCCACGCGCTCGGCTGCCTGGGGGCGATTCTTTGAGGCTGCCCCTGATACAGTTGCTGTCTCCATTCTGTTGGGAGCAGCAGGGCTGGACGTCGTGACAACCGTCTCGGCGCTGGTAAGTTCAATTCAGCAAGGCCCATCTGATGTCGAAGAGCCTGGGGTCTGGGTTCCGGCCGCAGGCTGGCGGGGCATTCCCTGGCAAATACCCTGGCCTCCAGCAGATCCCTCAGCTACACATACGGTTGCGGGGTTGAAGGCGAACTCCTTCGGTCGACGGCCTCCAAGGCCGCCGCAAGCGTCCTAGTTGTAGGCTCGTCGTTCGGCGAACTCTGGTCGTTCTCCTGGGTAGAGACCGACTCCGGCAGATGAGGCTGCACTATGTGACTACTAGTGAGCGGGAAGTTCGTTAACCCATCAAATATGGGTTGCAGCATGAAGGCCTCGGAATAAAACTGGCAGTTCGTGTCCTCGTATAGGACATCAGTCCCTACTAATTCATTATTGGAACTTTTAGTGGTGCCATTAATTTTAGGTGTTCGGGTGACTACAGTGGATGATGGCAGACTGTACAACAAGGTCGTGCCTTGTGACTGAAAGGAAAGGTAGCTTCACATATGGTAATTAAGCCATGTTTACATAATTAAAAGTCTGCCGTCGTCAGGAGTGAATACTTTTGTCAGTTCTCGGTGACTGCCATGTAAAAAGTCTCTGGTTCGATTTGTATAAATCGTTTCAACATTTTTGAGTACGTGGGTAGGGGGCATACTCCTAAACAAGGTCATAACTCGAGCTACCGTGGCTAGTCCAAAGGTGTTCTGTGAAGCAATGTCATCCACACTTTTAAGTAGGTTACTTGTTTTTGTGTGACGTGAACAGCTTCACCATCTTGCCTTTTTATTCCCTTTATAATGTTATGAACGTCTTGCCCCTGTTCTGCCGTTGCGACCCCGAACAAAACTTGAGGATCTCGCCTCCATAATTTATCAAGCCCCTCTTTCTTCGGTGCGTCAATGCAACATCGCTTGGTGTGGGCAATAGCTTTTTAAAAGTGTTTAATTATCTGTTTACTCTATCTATGGCTTCTCCAATTTCTTCTAGCTCCTCCCAATCGATCATATTTCTCCCATCTACGCCTTGGCCCGCCCAGTGGTTGTTTTCCAGAAGGATTTCACATCAAACCTCTGTAAGCAATCTTGTCTCCTCCAAGCATTCCACATGCCCATTCCATCGGAGTCTCCTAGGTTTCACTAACCTCACTGTGCTAGCTGACCTGTGCAATTCCCCTCGCTCCTAGTTGTGTACTATTCTAACTTCCTTACGCATTTCATCTTTCCTATGTCCAAATATCCTTGACAGATTGTTATTTTAAAATTATTGGCAACCATTGAGATCAAACCCAGGATATTTTACTCGCCGAAAACGCTACCCTCTCAAATATCCTGTCACCTGGAAATGGCTGTTTTGTAACTGTATGTTACACGTATTTTTCGCATCTGTTAGCAGAGGGCGCCATGTGAAAATGAGGTCTAGGTTTGGGTGTATGTCGGTATTTCCGAAAATAAGATTGGAATATGCGAGTCGCTCTCGCAGTGGTCTATAACGGCAGATAACCGTCCCATGTACTTGATACTCCCTGGCAAGAAATCGACCGAGAAAATAAAAGCGTAGTCAGTTTTGATTATGACGGTACACCACGAACCCGACTTTCCCCAGTCCCAAGATCCTACGATACCAAGTGTCATCTGTTTCGCGTCGGTTACACATGCCACTGACGTGGCGAAGGAACGGAATAAAGCAGCTTAAACCTGGAAAATCCGTTGTCACTTATCTCCTTCCGAGAAGTGGTCGTAAATTGTATCGTGGGGGGTCAGTGCCCTTTCCATGTGAGTTTGTGACTTCATCACTAACAACAGATGGACAGAGTGGGGTGTTGAGCTCTGCTCCCTCAGGGTCGAGTTCCACCTCGGCCTCTCCTTCTGTGGCGTCCGCTGGGACATCGCTCTCTAACTCTGGTTGCTCCTGGGCGTCCCTACTTCGCAACAAATACCTAGGGTTTACCTGGTCTCGCTCGTCTGTCTCTGGTCTGCGACTGTCCTGTACCTGGGTTCGATAATATCGGCTTAGTTCCCACTCGGGGTCCCGTCCTCCATCTCCATCCGAGTCCGTATCTCCACGATCACTACCGTGGGCATGAATCAGGGGTGAATTGAGGTGGAGGTCGTTCCGCCTTGAGCCTAGACCCCCACAAAATCCTTTCATTTTATTTACGTTTACCACAATTTCTCTCCCCTCAGGAAGCCTCACGACATAATTCAAATCAGACAGTCTTTGAACCACTTCATACGGATCCCTCCACCTTATTCGAAACTTCAGACAGGTTTGTCTACCCATATTCATCTTTTTCAGATACACCATTTCCTTCGGTTAAACGGTCACTAACTTCGTTCCTTTATCATATTGTTTCCTTTACTTCTCCCTTCCAATCTAATTGTTTTCCTTAACCACATCACATACTTCCTTCAGCCTATCAGCCAATGTATCAATATGCCCTTAATTCAAATCAGGTTTCTTGGTTAAAAATTTTGAAATCATCAAATCGTCCTCCATGGGCAAACGCATCTGCGTCCCATACACCAAATAAAATGGGCTATACTTTATAATCAAATAAGTGGTGGCCCAATAAGCCATCAAAGCACAATTAACAAATTCATCCCAGTCATTCCCAAATTTATTCACGTAATGACTCATAGTCTGATTAAGCCCTGACTTGAATTCCGCACACGAATCACATTGCTTGACGTACTGCTCTACATCACGGTTCAAAATCGACCACAAATAATGCAATCTAAGAAAGTCAGCCTTTTCTTGCTGAGCGTGCGCTGTGGGAGTGGTAATATGTCGTGACAAACAGTCGGAATTTACGTCTTTCTTTCCCGCCTTATGCTCAGTTTCAAAATCATATTCACCTAATTTCAACATCCACCTCATAAAACTGGCACACTAATAATCCTTTACAGTGATTAGCCACTTCCAGGCAACATAATCTATCACAATATCAAATTCCCCTCCATACAAAAGGCATCAATGGATTTGTGCACCGAAAACAATCATTAATAATTTCTTCTACGTGGTACTGTAATTTATTTAAAAGCATGCTTGGAATTGTATACTCTTTGGGGTACATCGATGTTCCAAAGAGAACTAAGGCCACTGTTAGGTGATGATTTGTCCCATCATTTTGTTGAACTACATCTTAAGTAATGACAGGTAATTCATGCACTCATGCTGCAACCTGGATAACAGAAATGCAAGTGACCAGCTCTGGTTCCCCATGGGGTAAACCTCCTAGAGCAGTTGCTAGGGACCAGGCCCCAGCAAAGCAAGCATGCTGGGGATGGAACTGGGCATTAAAGCCACACTGTAGTTTTGATATCATACATCAATTCTCATCGCAGCTTCCTGGTTACAACACAAAATGCACTAACCTGAAACAAAATGTTCTGTATCAGTAAAATATATCTCAGTGAATAAATAGTCATATTTCTTTTTTACTCTAAATTTATAAATCTCCTGTTTGGAGTACTCTAGTTATTCCCCACTGAACATCTGGCTACTACTTCAAGTCAGTCTCACATTTGGAGATAGCTTTTCTCACTTTATTGTTTTTCCTGTTTCCAGGAGAATTCCAGTATATTACAGAATTTAAAATAGGCAACAGCAACTTCCATGTATCTTTTTATGCAAAATATAAAATTCAGGCTGCCACATCTTATTTGGCACTACATAAGCACTGCCTACACTTGATGATTCATAAAACAGACCTACGTCTACTTCTGACTTGTTTACAGGCAATTCATGCACTGCGCAGACAAGATGCTTCACAATTTTCTGGGCTGTCTGTTGTTACTGACTTTCTGTTAGTGGTTGTAGGATCGGAACTTATAACATCTGGCTTTTAACAGTTCAGCTGTGAAAAATTTCCTTCTAGATGCTGCTTCATCAATCTCAGAAAAATAAAAGATTTAGGGTGTATATTTACTTTATAATTACATATATATGGGATGTGATATGTTAAGTTGCTCCACATATCACCATACAGACCCATTAATCATGTAACTGTTCACATTATACAAAATTAATAAACTATTTCAATTCACAAATTAACACAAACAGTATTGCAGCATTGTGTACAAGTATGTGAAAACAACAAGGCAATTAATTGTATAACTAGGTCTACACCATTCGTGGCAGTTTTTCTCTCTGCTCTGTATAGAAATATTGATTTTTGCAATTTTTTAAAGCATTGATTTGTCAATAAAATCAACTAGAAGACGATACAACCAATTGTGTGTCAATGTTAACATTTATAACTGAAGGCAAAGGTTCTTCAACAAGTAGTAGAAGTAATAAAAGGTTGATTTAGAAGTTTACTCTGTATGGAAAATATAGAAACACAGGCCTTGTGCTTTGCCTCCCCCACAACAACATTGACTCCATTGCACTTAAAAGTATGGAAAATATAGAAACACAGGCCTTGTGTAGAAACACAGGCCTTGTGACATTGACTCCATTGCACTTAAAAGGACATCTTGATTTTATAACCTTTATTGGGTCAATACTGGTAAAAACATACAGCTGGAAATCATAATGGAATGTTGTACAGAGTAATGAATAAAACTTCATTATCATAAATCCTATAAAATGGCTCTCATTAAGCTGAGTTCAATTGGCGAAGGTATAATGTCAAGTGGTGACTCGAACGATTATAGGGGCACTTCATTCACATATACGTAAGAAAAGCATCAGTATCAAACAAACTTCACCAAAGAATTTTTATCAAATGAACAAGAAACTGCAGTACGAATTAAAAGTACCTGATAACCTATAATAATGTTATTTGAAGCAACTAATTTATTGCAAATCTGAACCAAAACAAGGAACATTAAAATAATCAAGCTATGACACACCAACAGTCGATGTAGGAGGACATTTAAAATGAAATTACTTACCTTATTTAAATCTATTCATTCCAAACACAAATGGTCTAACCTCAAATCTAAAGTATTCTCAGCACAGAGTAATAAAGTGTCAATAAATGACGCTAATCACAAAATCACAAATGGCGATGTGCTTCTCCTGCCATCTAGACGCTGTATCGGAATTACATAAAGTTATAAAGATGCCGGTAGATGGACATGCTGTATGACACACAACAAAGAATACCACGGGTATTATATTCATACTAGAGCAAGGCGCTCCTTTCGGAGCTCCTAGGGGGGGTTTGTCAAGTTTATAAAACGCAACCAACCTTGGTTAGTCCCGAAGGGGAGTTAGTTTAGTGTTTTCAGGCAAAGAAGCCAGAAACTCTGAGAACACCAAACTGGAGGACATAGAAAAATTTAAGTAATTCAAATTAGAACCAGAAAAGGACCACAGTTCTGATGATGATTCTATTATGGCTTCGCAGTATTATTGCGGCGTGAGTTATTGAAGCTTACTCTTTACAGTGATTGGTGTAATAGGGATGTTTCACCATGTATCTTGTACAAATTGATTAAAATATCTGAGGTGCTTACTGCCTCTGAAACTTCAGTGAATTTCTACCAAACTACATGACATTGCAGAACAGCGTTTCTCAACCTTTTTACCCTTGAAATAATATTCATGTCTGAGGGAATCCCTACATAAAAATTATTATATATCATTATTAATAACTTTCTTTCTCTTTTATAAACTTAAAGTTCATAAGGAAAACATAATATATTTTTTCTGATAGCTGGTTTAAGCAAAAAAAATAACTTACGTTTTTCTCAAGTTTATTAACAATACAAAAAAAACTGAAATCAAACTGCCTATTCAAAAGACCTCATGCGGAGGTTTTCGTTCTCACAAAAAATTAACCCCGTATCTGTAAACACAAAAAATAAACATAAATAACCAATATCGTATATAAGACATAAACAGGACGAAAACAGATAATAACTACTGCAATAACTAAATCGTTTATTGACAATATTGAAAAGGCATAAGATAAATCAAGGTAAAATATCATATGAACAAATATATGTGTCAAGTAAATGTTATTTTTGAAGCCAATTTAGATAATAAAATTTACATTCCTAATTTGAAACCTGTGCTTGTCTTTTGGTACACAAATACTTAATTCGGGGTCAAACTTTAGATAAATACACACATATTTCATCTTCAACTGAAAGGAGACGATTCCTGTCTTTGTTCTTGATACTTCATTCTGGAGACCCTAATGAAAATGTTTGACCGTGTAAAGAAGTGAAAATGACTGTAATTAGAACTGTTGCAGGAAGTCACCTGGTGGAGCGTCAGAGTCGTCGCATATGAGATGTTGGCAGGCCACAGCCAGCCCCTTTGAATTTGATGGCAACAAAAGAGATTTGCAAACGCTCTACACGTAAGTATCGATGACCCAACGAACGTGTTCCCTGTGAACATCAGTCTCGTATCAACAGTTACATGCAGATACTTTGCGGCTAAAACATTACTGCCTGTTTCAATGCCAGGAAAGCAGGCGCACATTTTAATCATATGCATAATTAGCCTTAGGCAAGGAAACAAAATGCAAGCACAAACATTACGAAAGCAAATTTGTGCAGGACACCAATAAAATGTAAGGGGTCTGTAAGCTAAAGTATTGCAAAAGCTAAGAACTAACATATTTTGACAAGTACAATTTTCCTTGACTCTTGTATGACCTGCATCAAAAACTAAGTAGTTTACTGGAACTGTCACAGGCATTAGAAATACTAATTCTCATAGCATGTTTAATTAGAATGTTTTAAATGGCAAGTATAATGGGCCTGTCTTTTACAGTAAAATCGTACATGACAAACCAGACATTCCAATATGGCTGTCACTGTATGTAGCAGACGGGATAACCTCCCATCAGCAGCAACAGATCCCAATTTGAATGGTCGAGGCTCCAGCCACGGCGTAACTCTGTTAGCATCAGCAAAATTTCCGTTTTTTATATTAAGACCGTTTACCATTTCCAGCAATGCGCCTTGTGCACAGGAATGGTTTCACCTAGGTAGGGACGATGCTTGCACTTGCGCAGGACTCCGCCCTCAGTTAGCTTCCTGGTTGGTTGGTTGGCTTCCGCCAGTCTTTAGCGAATGGTGTTGTGAGCTGGTGGTGTATAAAGTGTTCCTAAAACAATATACTTTTATATTCAGAGAAAACCTTTTCTGCAATCTTCTATTGAATTCTTTATTCTCCTGCTCTTAACAAAGGGTGAGACATGGATTTCCTATTTATTATTAATATTATTATTTCGTTATCTTGAGAGGTTGTATGTGATTTTTAAGCATTAAAATGATAGCAGCGACACACGTCGGCCACATCAACGAAGTTACTTGAATTCCGGCTAACCTAACAGCTGATACGGACTTACGACCGGGTCACTTGTCATATTCAGAAATTGTTAATTGTTTTCAGTCTTTAATTTTTCGTCTAGCGGAAAGTTTCTG